AGAATGAAACACTTGGGTTTGAGGGCCCGTCTATTCGTATCGGGGCAGCTTCGAGGAGGCTAGCGGCGTGCGAGGCGTGCACAAAAGGAGCTAACGGCGTGAACCCATGACCACCGTGACGAAATGGGAGCCCAATTTGTACACATATAGACGAGGAGAGCGGAACATTATTGAATCGAGAGTATGCCGCACGTTGATCTTCATCAAACCGAAGGGCTGACGCCAGGGAAAGGCGGGGTGGAGTGAGCCGATACACGTGTTCAACGCGGCACACGGAGCCAGACAATCGGTGCAAATGGAAGCGTATCCGTGCATCAGGGATACTGTCGAGCAGCTTCAGAGAGTCAGAAACCGACTTGTTTTTGGTATCCAGATTGGTTCTGATAAAATCATCAGTACCGAGCGGGGCGCCTAAAATTACAATACCTCCCCCTGGCGAGACGGACAGGGGAAAAGAGCGGGTCAAGAGTTCGAGGAGGGGGGGCTGAGTTGTGGGCCAGAAGGCCCGACATTTGGAGACGTTCATGGAGAAACCAATGCTGGGGCCAAAAATTTGAATTATTTTTAGCGCTTTCTTGACTTCTTGTATCGTGCCAATGAGGGTTCCGTCGTCAGCATACCATCTGTTGAGGAGGAGGTCGCAGTCCCTGCTGATGCGGCGGATGAGAGGTTGTACGGCCAAAGAGAACTGTGTGTAGTGTATGGTTTTATTTTCACTAGTCAGGGGGGGGGGCCGATGCCATATCATAGGGCAGGATTCAAGGACTCACACTTGGGCGGGACAAGATAAGGCCGCGCCATGATAAGGCATGCGGGCGAGGGTGGCTGAGGCAACGCTTGACCATATGGCATAACTAAGACGCTGAGAGAGACGAGACTTTGCAGTACCAAAGGTGGTACCGGTGCGGATGGCAATGTGATGGGAGAGGGACTCGAGGACAGATGTAGAGCGGGCGCTGGGAGCGCCCAGGGTGTCGAACGCAAGAGGCACAAAGTGCCAGTCCAGAAGAGGGAGCGAGGCGTCGGCTTGTAGATGTAGAGCGGAGCGGATGATGCGAGCGTGCGTGCTTAGCTTGTCAGCATCCGCCACTTCGGCGGCGCCGGCTATACCGCGAGCAGCCGGGATGAGGGCCCCCACGCGGTAGGGGCTCCGGACAGTGACATCGTAAGCCGTAGGACGGTCTGGCAGAGCTCCCGCAGGAGGCGGAGCGGGCTGAACGAGGAGATCGGCGGGGCGGTGAGCCGTGCCAGGGATGAGAAAAGGGACTTCCATATCACAGCTCAATCCTGCGGCGCGGAAAGCATGTCGTGCCAGAGTGTTCCGCACCGTGTTGTGACGATGCACAGTACCGAAGCCGTGCTTGCACATGGCGGCATGGTCACCGCGTATATCCATGGGACGGCGACAGTGAGAGCAGAGGAGGGGCTGGATGGAGTCATCGTAGACCGGGGAGTCAAGATGACGGCGGAGCATACATGACCACACCTCGCTGGAGACGAGTGATGTAAGGGCGGGATGAGCACACAAGAAGGATGCGGCGCCTGGCGCGCACAGGGAGTTGTAGCGCGCTCGGCGGCGTACGGAGGCGGGTGTGTGGTCGGAGGGGCTGGGGAGGCGATCCCATGCAGACTTTTCCCAGTACATCCTTGAGAAGGCGCCATGGAGAGCCTGAAATAATGTCTTGTGTACGCGTTCAGGTCTGTCCAGGAGGGCGTCTGGCTCGAATGGGCCGAGGGGGGAGTGTGCTGATAGCACGCCACGAGTGCGTATTTCCGGGTTGATGGACGTGAGCACTCGAACGAGATGGCGGCGTGCCATGCCGCGGTAGAAGGGCACCGAGGGGTTAGCAGGACCTTTAACGCGGATCGGGGCGGCTTCTAGAAGGCTGGCGGCGTAGGACGCATGCACAAACGGGGATAGCGCAGTGAAGCCATGACCTCCCATACGAAGAGGTAAGCCAATTTGAGTAGAAATAGATGCCGAGAGGGGAACGTTGTTCAGGCGAGAGTATGTGGCGCGTTGGAGTTCGTCAAAGCGCACAGCCAGCGGGAGGGACAAGATCGGGGGTGTCAAGCGGAACGTATGTTCCACACGGCACACAGAGCCAGTGACGCGATGGAGGTGAAACCGAATGCGGGCGTCCGGAATATCCTGAAGAGGACGAAGCGCGTCGGTGCAAGATTGGATCTTGTTCTGTAGATAATTCTTGATGAAGGCGTCAGAGCCGAGGGGGGCGCCAAGGAGAACCAGTCCATCTTCAGAAGGGACCTGAACAGGGAAGACATCGAGAAGTGGGGAGAGATTGGCGGGGGAGGACGATGGCCAGAACGCACGACACTTGGAAATGTTTACATGGAAACCGGCCGCAGGGCCAGAATTTCGAAGTATTCGGAGCGCCTTGGTGACTTCAGCAATTGTACCTATGAGGGTTCCATCATCAGCGTACCATCGGTTGAGGGCGAGGTTGCACTAGTGTATAGTGTGGTTCGTTTATTTTCACTAATCAAGGGGGGGCCGATGCCATATCATAGGGCAGGCTTCAAGTGTATAGTGTGGGTGTGTGTGACGCGGATGATGTTCTCCATATTCAAATATACTGAACGCATAGCTCCGGGCAAGCAGTAACCAGATACGCCGGTGGTATAGTGGTAGCATACGCCCCTGCCACGGGCGAGACCCGGGTTCAATTCCCGGCCGGCGTACTTTTTTTATGCACGAAACTACGGCAAGGGTCGTACTGCTGCTATCCTTTATTATTCTTGCCATTCTTCTTACGACACGCTCAATATGGGCCAAATGTTGGAATACTGTATACAAATGTGTCCTTAATGCAGAGGTGAGATGTTTCGCTGCGAGAGACTTCAATGATTCCCTTTTTTTCCGAGGCGGTGCAATACACAGCAAAAGTTGGGAGTACTTCTTGCAATACTGGACTTTCTACGATGATGGCATTGTCGTACGTACAATAGCACATTGGGTCCTAATCGTTTCACTCCACCCGGAAACACGACCGAAGGCCGATAAATCCTGCCAAAATTTATCAGAAACCCAAAAATTAGAAGCGGGATCAAAACACCTGCATGACCATGTCGCAGTGTTGTTTAGACCCAGGTCCGCCCAGGGCTCTCTGGATGCCAGGGGTGATGCACCCCCGTGAGTTTGAAGTAAACGTGTTTGTCAAACCAATTGAAGTCTTTGCAACCGTTTTTCTGTAAATATTGTTCTTGTTGTTGTGCATACGGATCATCTCCCATCTGATCCGCAAACGCTTGCCATTCTTCTGGCAAATTTTCAGCTCCAAACATTAGCTTGTAGAAACCAGTTCGCGCATTTGAGTTTTTCGCCCATCTCTCCAGAACCCGGATGTTGTTCCGTGTGATAATTTTTGTGAAGTTGTCTGCTGGATGTCCGTCAACTTCGTACGGGGCGTCCCTTGCCAGATCTAAGCGATCGGTTAAGGATTCCGGTATTACAGGTGGCCACCTGCCTACCTCGTCCAAGTGAATACGGTACATGTGCCCAACCCTGGAACACGGTACCATTACCAACCGGCCGCCACATGCCCAAACTTTGATTGCGAAATCGGTGTTTTCTCCGCCCCACACGTACATTCCCTCGTCATAGCCGCCTAACCGGAAGAACTCATCTCTACGTATTGCGAAAAGGCTCCCCGCCGCAAAAGGGGTTTCATAAGGAAGCCTTCGTCCAGGGGCTTCCCTCTCATCACCGTTGTCGTCAGGTCCTCCAAATCTTGAACGCTGGTATCCAAACCAAAACTTGTCCGTGATCACCCCGTAAAGCAAATCCCCGCTGCCAGTCCCGTACGTCCAGTCCATATCGTTAATGATGTCCAAGGTCTGAGCTGCTAATGTCCTCGGGTTCTCTGTGATCGGTACCAGAAGGTGTTGCAGCCATGTGGCACTGAGCATCTCAATATGGCTGTCAATGAACACAAGAACATCTCCCGTTGCGGCTCGGGCTCCTCTCATCCTACATCTCGCAACACCTTCGCGTCGTTCATTGGTTAATATGGTGATTCTAGGATCCAGCTTTTTCAGTTCTTCTAATTCTGTTTCATTGACAGGGCCTCGTACCTCCCCAAGCCCGTTGTCATCAACGATAATTATTTCCTTCAACAAGGAAGGAGGTGTCCGAGCGAGAATTGAATGGATCGTGAGTGTCAGCATTCCATCCTGCTCATTCTGGACCGTCGCAACGATAGAAGCATTTGGCATATTATCCTCATCAAAGCGGTAACGCCCACACATGCCCGTGAAGAAATCCTTGACACTCAAATTGCGGACAGCCGACAATCCCTCTATGTAGGTCCTGGAAAAGAAATCATCTTCATCCTGTTCAAGCCACCACGGGGGATCTGCTACCCCTTGAGTGGGAGAGTTCGTTTGCACAGACTGCGTAGACCTGAATGTACCATGACCAACCCAGCCAATCGCTACCATTGTCATCGCAAGTAGAACCTTTGTGAGGACCCGTCCGAAAGTCAGGCGTTTTGGCTCATTGTTACGGAACGAGATACTCGAATTGGCAGGAGAAGCCCCTCTGAAATGATCCTCAGAGGACTCGGAATATGCGTCACCGCGTCGCCCCCTTCGCTTGACGACCATGATGCTCGCGTTCTTCCCTTCCAAAGCTTTCAATTGCTTTCCAACAGCTTTCAAAGTTTGAGACTGTCGGTGGTGCCGAACGCAAGGGAACCAAAATCGCGAAGGTGTGGAAAATAGTACTGTCTCGAACGCGCCGAGTCAATCACTTCGGAAAACACGGCCAGAACGCAGTATGGTTGAGAAACGACGAAGATGGCGTGGTCGAAGGACTCCTGAAGGTCAAGGGACAGTCAAACTCTCATTCCCGAAACATGAAGGTAGCGGGGACACGCCTGCGCCGAGTGAGCTACTGCTATGGATATGAGAGAGGACGAGTCTGATAAGACGAAAAACGGCTGACGTTTGCTCACGACATCCTGCATGTCATGAAGTAATGTATTTTCAAAACCGCATTTATGATGCGAGTGTAGATACTGTACAGTATTTGCTTGAAACATTGCCAAAAAGTACTGAAATTGTTACAGAGGCAATCTAAAAGCCGGATCAGACCTCAACAAATAGTGCATGCAACAATGACGACATGCAAGAATACAGTCCCACCTCGTCCATGAAACCGGTCCATGCAGGTCTGGCCCGCTGCGATACCGGACCAACTTTTAAACTAGATTTTTCTCTGCTCGCAGAGGAACGCATACCCTTCCCAAGGGTACTGTACCAGTGAGAAGCGAGTGCGATTATTGCTGCATCACAAAGTGTTTCGAGGCGAATTCTGCGGCATCAGATTTTGTTCGTACGCTGTCGGGATATGCTATTGTATTCTCGAAACGAACTGCATCATCAAATCTGACAGGCGCAATCAGCATACCTTAGCGGCCGTACAAAGATTCCGCAAACCTAACCAAGAAGAAGACAAAAGTCCTTCTGAATACGTTGAGAACTCTTGAGAAGCTTATATGGACCGATAACCCCTTATCAGATGTTTCTAAAAGCAAAGATCTGTTCCCTATGCTCCGTCTCACTGCTTCTCACGACACATCAACTACTCGTTCGTTTCGACGCAACATGATGTTCTATTGACTACAGTGATTTGAAGACTATGCATACAATTGATGTGATCACCTGTGGATAACAGGAGCAGATCGACATCTCAGTGACACCTATGCATTCAGAATTTTGCTCGGAAAATCTCTAGAGCAACGAGGAAGCATGCCTGGTGCTTTAGATATTTATCATTTGGCTCAATCGTAATGAACAATACAGCCCTCTCACTGATGATGTGCAGACGTGTGAAAAAACGAATAGCGTCAGGAGTTAGTCGCAACACTGGAACGGGACAGAATAGATGAGAGAAGTTACAAGGATGAACCACCTTGCATCAATGACGCTCAACGTAGATGTATCGAGAGCGGACTTCCGTATCGGAAACAAGTCGAGCCATACCCTTGATTATTGCCATGCACGCACAGAGAGGGCAATAATTAAGTATTGTCACTCTTGGAGTCTGTATCGATTGAGCCAGTACCCTTCGCAATGTATACAGTACCCAAGGGTAGCGTGGTGGCGGCTGAACAAGCAAGAGTCTGAGTAGAGATAGCATCACGACGCTCTTTCACATCGTCACAAGAGAAACGCGCACACCCTTCCTTGCCCAATTCTCAAGTGTCAGCATTGAGATGAGAGACCGGCCACCCCAGAAATACCGCCAGTACACGTGTACGGCACATGGGCTTTCTCCGGCGGGGCAACGGAAGCCGGCACTGGTGTGACCCAATGAAACGGGAGAAATTTGTGATAAGTGGTCATAAATTGGTGAAAACACCAGGCAGTGCTCGTCGCCAGAGAAATGCTAGGGCGACAACAAGTGTAGAAACGGTTCGACCACACGCTCTGACAACGTAGGGCCAATTCTGGCAGCCCTCCTACTGTACAGAAATACAGTAGGAACACGTCATGCTGCTTTTTGCATGGAGTGTTCTACTGTACATGGCTCGGGCGCACATGTTTGAGCGACGGCCGCGGGCAAAGGGCGCGAGTTTCTTCGAATCGACGATGGTGGGGCAGATCGACGAGTCTTTAACGACGGCCGTCCGCCTGCTTTTCAACCAGTTATCACCCTGTTTGAGTGTCGGTAAAGTACCCTTCGAATGGTAGTTGTAGGAACTATCAATTAGCGAGAACTCTGGCATGTGTTGTGCGGCGCAGGACACCATACCTTACGCTTAAAAGAGATATTTTACAGCACAGTAGAAACGAGTTTCGCACAGCCGTTTCACGGCAATTGTATTGCTTAGTCGTAAACGGACGCGTGCCGTAACGGACGCGTGCCGTCATTGCCTTATTCAGACGCAATTGACGAGTACGGACGTCAGCTCTTCGAGTTGCACCTTGGTGCGGTTGAACAAAATGTCTCAGCACATCAACGGCTTTAGCGGTTCTCTGATTCTAAAGACTACTCTGCACCTAGAAGCTATCGTCGCTTGCGCAAAATTACAAAGATATCAATAACACATCAAATGCAACTTTATTCTGTTGCAATTAGAGTTATATCCATCGAAAAGAATCACAACAAGAGAGCCATTGTCAAATGCGGTATCAAACGGCTCTCTTCCTTCCACGAACTGGCAATCACTGCAACCTTCAAGAAGCTACATCGCCCCAGTTGTCGTGCCTACACGCACATGTGGGTAGGATATGCCCGACGGTAAACGTGAGCCTTATCGCGACTCGTAAGCGCTTTCAGCAGCCGTTTGCCTCCTGGGTCGACTTCACTATTGAATCTCAACCCGATCAACTTGCTCTGTTCGCTGAAGCGCGAATTCCGAATCTTTTGCAGTGATGGCGATCCCGCTAGTAGTTGCACCAGCCGTCGCTTTCCAGTAACTAATCTAGTTGTCAATTACGCCAGCTTCTGTGACGTAATCCATGCAGTTTGCTGGTTCGGCTCACCAAGCGACATGCTGTCTGCGAACGACAAGCGGGGAGTTCTTCTCCGCAAAGCCCAAAGCTTGCGCCCTTCGAATCTCGTTTGCCTCAAACTGGGCGAGTTTTCTAAACCGTGCTTCGACATCCTTGACAAGGGCGACGAGCTGGGGAGTGGAGAGCATGTGGAATTCCTGAACGAGCCTTCTGTCGGCGGTGGTTGTAATGGGATCGGGGGAGAAACGGGGAATGCGAGGGGGACGGGCGGGCGTGGCGGGGCGGGGCGGCGTCACAAGACGTGGGAGACCAGACAAGGCTCTTTGACGCTTGGCGGCAGACTTCGGGGTGGAGGGTCGAATGGCTTCGGATGCCGGGCGCTTGTTGCCCATGGTGGCGGGGGAAAGGCGCCGAAGCGGAGAAAAGGTAATTAAGGAGGTTTCCGGCGAGGGAGACAGGGAGTACGGACTGTCAAGTTCGCCGTCGCGTGGAATGGAAATGCGAGACACCAAGGATGTCCGGAAGGGAATTAAGTCTATGGGCGCAGGGACGTGAATGCGGGTCGTGGGTGGATGAGGAGATGAGAACGATATAGAGGGGGGTGTCGCGAAGGAGGAGGAGAAGGGAACGAAGAGGAGGAGGGGGGAACGAAGAGGGGGGTGGCGAGGGAGGACGTGACGGCGGAGGGGGAGGCGGGAGGGGGGGGGTAGGCGAGAAATATAGATAGATATGGGACGCTCGTGCGACTGTGCAAGAAAGCGTGGGGCGGGAGTTTTAAGTCTTTGGCGGGCCGGGCTGGTGTCGGGGCATGACCCGGCTGGCTGCAAGCGTGCGGGGGAACCACTTGCTGCCGATCCCTTTCCGTGGAACATGCTTCACTTGGGCAAGAAACTTGAAATTTCTTCTTTTTTTGCTTTTTTTTTGCCCACAGATGTAAGACTTGCCGGCAGCCCTGCTGGACTTGAGGGTTTTTTTTTTCCAAATTGTGGCCGCCGGACGACGTCGACCCGAAATCTCCTACACAACAAAGCGATCTCGATAGTAACCTCCACTCCTCCTGCACTACATTTCTGCTGCTTTTTCCGGATTATCTACCGTGTTGCGCTGTGGGCTTTCGTAAGACGCCACGTCGACTTATCCTACTTACATTGGAAAGTCTTAATTCCTTTGCCGTCCTGTCATGTCTACTTTAAAACTTATTTTCTACAAGATCCAACAAGGCAGCCCTATATCTGGGCCTTGTCGAATCACTGCTGGTACGTCATCCTCGAGTGCTTCGCGGTGTCCAGAATTGCCGCCTGCTATTCCGCCACCCTCGCTACGTATGGCCTCGACCAATGAACCTTCGTAACGTATTTGCGACAAGTCAAGTTTAAAAATGGCAACAAAGCACGAGCACCACTCTTACATAGTCACCGCGCCTTTTTATTGGCCAATACCGCATCAAATTACAACGGAGATAACCTCCTGACACATAACCTTCGCAAACTGATTTTCGCACGGAGAGCTCTCTCTCTCAAAATTCCCGAATTTTACCTCCATTACACGTTACACCTCTCACTGGCGCATTCTGGACACTGCAACCAAAAATCCATCGCGGGCCCCTTGTGCTCAACTTGTGAGTCAGAGGTTTTCATACAGCAACCTGTCATAGCCGTGGTTAGATCGCCTCTCACGCTCTCCCCAGCGCCTCGTCCACCGCTCCCCGTCCTTGCTCGCCATATAAACATGTAGGCGAAAGCAAGTAATCAATCTCCGTGGACATGCTCCTCAACTTGGGCAACCGTGCTTCGGAGTGTTGTTTTTAGATACATCAGCTCAAGGGAAGATCACTCGTCTGAGGCACAAACCCTAATCATTCCTTCCCACACTGCTGCTGTCATTCCACATCTAGTCACCACAATAAGTTGTACATGTATGTTGCACTGATAACGACAAGCACATCTCCAAACATCATTTTACATACATCAAGCAACGTGAACGGTCTGCGTCGACGCAAAAACCTCATCCACTCGCTTTCGTTGCAATTTCTTGAGCTGAAATGTCCACACGTTTTCAGAGAGGCACTGTTCAAACCAATTCTTCTAAGTACAATGTTTCTTTATTTCTGTTGGTCATAATCTTGGCAATTTTCATCTCGCGAGCGAGAAGAAACCTTCAAATGCAAATAATCTCATTCTTCGACACTGTCAGCGACTGTATGGCTTGAAACATTAGATCGACACCTAAAAGTTGTAACGAAAAACGCCCATCCATACGACTACGGGTCCGAACGCCAATCAAGAATTCATAGAGCCATATAAACCGACATAATAAGCACTATAGCAGAGCGACAGGCTCCTGTATGTCGTCCACGAACGACTGAAAAGTATGAAAATGGTGTTCATATCTCGTAGGCGTTTGCCTTCTGGGGTCCGAGACTTTTCACTATTCTTGTTCCTATGTCTTGATGAGACATTCTCAATCACTGCAATACTCTCGTAGACTTTTCCCCTTCGCCCCTTGTAGTTATGCCTTCTGCGGTTGGATGCAAAAGAAGAGAATCTGCGCCTGAAACTCTACATACTTACAAAAAGAATCCTTGCAACAGATAAGGGAATATAATATGTTCATAAGAATTCATAAAACCGGAAACCGCTGCCGTATATGCAGACGCCATACAGCGGAATGTAACGATTACCCAAAAGATTCACATTAAATGTTTGGTAAAAGCGCAGTATGGACATTTTGCGCTTCATTAAGAAAATGGTCTCAAAACTATATAAGTTCTTACAAGAATACGCTGCCTTCAAGAAAGAGACAAAGAGATGCAAATAGTCTACATGCTGCGTGATCCTTGACCTCATTTCCCTCGAACTGCTGTCGCAAACTTGTGATTTCCAATTTGTTTTGTTGCTCTGAGAGTTTCTGTTCACTCTGTGCATCTGCATGGGAGACTTGTTTTCGTGTTCTTGCGAAAAGACATGTGCCAGATGTCCCGCAGTTGTTATTCAACCTAGAAGGTACATGTACGGAAACAGAGATGACAAACATTCACGGGAGGGGACAAATGCGACATTCGCAAATAGATCCAATGAGGTACGGTTAGGACACTTGCAAAGGTGCGAACAATATCTTTGTGGAACTATGGGCTTTAGTGACTTCGATGTTCATTCGAAGCGTGGGTTTTCGGATAGCGGAATGATCTTCGAGAAAGACCACAACTTGTACTATATTCGGGTTTTTGTTCAATGAATGTAGACCAAGAGATTATTGTCATAATCCTGGACCAAATTCAAGATGTGGTATTTCGTTTTCGATGGAATAGCTTTGGAATTTCTGGAGTTTGTCTTCTGTTTTTGTTTTGTGAATAGTGATTTATTAGTCTAACGTATCTTCAACAAAGAAAAATATTTAAACGACAACGGAGTGATCTTTTTCGTGGGAATAATCAGTGTGTGAACCAATGTGCTTGAGTCTATCTTGTGATCAACGAGCATTCGAGAGATGAGAAGTGTCCGAAAGTGACGTAATTGACCAAACAAAGCTTGATGAGCACGTGTTCGGCGTATTGCACTGCTGGGTGGATAGTTTCTCGAAGAAGATGGAAACAAAAGGAGCGAGGGATTTTTGGGTTGAATGATAAGGCACATCACAGCACACATCAGAGCACGAGGCGGTGCAAGTGCCGTATAGTGATACGATGTTTTTTTTTTGGCGAGAAAATAGATGGACGTGACGAAACGTGTGCTGCGGTATGCACCCTAGGTGTGAGTGTATGCGGACAGCGTAGGAAACAAGGGATAGTGGTTGATGCGGCGGGGAATGCTGCGGCGAAGCAAGTACGAAGGTTACGGACGGCCAATATGTTGCAACGAAAGATTTATCGATAGAGTGAAGGATGGCTGTTGCCATAAACGGAAGGCTCTCACAGGTATTGAATGAAGAAGGTTGTTTGTGAAGATTTCGTCATTGATCCTCGGGGTTAAATGGAGACGGATCGACCGCGACGGGTGGAGGAGCGCACTGTCGATGACAGATCTGTGTGTGGTATGTCCTACAGTACGATACTGTCAGTTGGCGCTATATGCGACACATGAGAGGGTAGGCATTGTGCTGTGGGCATTACATTTATGTACAATTGGGATTGTACAATATGTGAGGGGGAACATACCGTACAGTAACGTCATTTCGTGCTGGAAACAGAATGCAGTGTTTGTATACCGTAATACAGTAAGCTATTTGGTTGGCGTGTGAGAGCAATTTGAATGTTGCGTGGAATAGAGAGATGAAGCGACGGTTGACGTTTCCAGGAAAGAAGGGGGAATGACTTTGCGTCTGTCGATGGCGATGGTTGTTGTTGTCAAGGTGGAGGGAACGAGGGAGTTGTCTGTTGGCGCGGTTTCCCGTTTGCGACTGGACGGGAAGCGGTGAGGCACGCGGTAGCACATTGGGACGTTGCGCCTTGCCCGAGGGGGTATGGTATGAAGAAAATGTGTTGTAATTGCGAGTGTGCATGCATTTTTTACCAGCGGAGCAACAATCAGTGCGGAAGCGTCGAATTGTAAGCAAGGTTGGTAAAAATCGAGGAGGGCGGACTACCCGTGAGGGGGAGCTGGGCTGGAATGCAGACTCGAGACGAGGAAAGTGTAAAAAATGCCCACTGTAGGGGGAGGCCCTAGGACCTTGCGATGACGTGTCAGCAGTCGGAGTGCGCGCCTGCGCGCGCAGAGGTCCGTTCGGGGCGCATGTTTGGATGGCCTTGAGACTGTCACGGCGGGATTTGTCCCGGTTGGTCCATCGACCCGGCCCGAACAATTGCACGTGCAGACCACGCCACCATGTGTGGACCGATGCATGGCCTTTGCGCAGCAACCCAGTCCCCAGCATGCCTCCGCAGCCCGATACAAGCATGCAAACGCGTAACCGCTCCACGCTCCATTCGGGGAGCACAAAAGCCTGCCACTCGTATCCAAATCCACCTCGTTCCCCCCCCCCCCCTCCCCCCTCTTCCTCACCCCGCCCCCCCCACCCCTCTGCATACAGTACGATAGTTTGTATTCCAACCCCTTCGCCATCAATTCTCTTTCATTTCATTTCTTCCCGCATCTATCCGTGTATCTCCTGCCCCTCCTGCCCCTCCCCCTCCCCCCCTCTCCCCCCACGTCCCAACCGGAACCCCCAATTCGTCTCGCCCTTCTGCGTCGAGTTTCCTCTAAGCTCTGTTGAGGGGACGCGAATTGGCACTCTGTTGTTCCGCCTTCCTGTCGCATCCGCGGCGGGCTTGCTCTCTTACCATCGCGCCCCCAACGGAGCAGGGTGGCGCCCCGCTGCCCGATCCCCTTGAGCATGAGACTCTCTTTCTTATTCTTCATCACCTTTATCAGCATGCTGCAGTCCCGTCCATCCGTGATGCGCTCGTCTCACTGGAGACCGCTCTTCTCGACAACAAACTGCTGCCCTCTCGAGTCGATTACACTGGCAATGATCATCTTCTTAACTATCAGCAAGCTGCACGCCACTTTAGTCACATCCCACAGGACTACCTTCGCGACCTCCTCCGCACTCGTCTTCCGGAAGGTACGCAAACCTTGTTTGGCAAAGCTCGCTACGCCACATGTGCCAAGAAGCGGCCTCGCCCCCCTCGCCTCGACCGTATCAAAGCACGCTTGCGTCCCACTTCTAGCAATGTCTTCACCCTTGTGGATCAGCAGAGATTTCTCAATGTTCCCATGCCATTCCACAAGGCCACATTTGCTCTTCTCCCGAAGAGCTTTAGAAAGCTCAAGCGAGTCATTGGTCATCACCTCCCGGTCTTTAGCGCTGTCTTTGACAACTCGTCCAGGCTCGTCCTCACCGGCGGTGACGATAACCTCGTTAAAGTTTGGTGCACCGAAACGGCCTACCTCCAGCAAACCCTCCGAGGCCACGATTCCGACATCACAGAGATTGTCAAGCACCCAACCCTCCCTATCGTTGTCTCAGCAAGCAGTGACACCACGCTCCGCGTCTGGAATGTTGACACTGGGGCGGCTCTCCATGTACTCGACGGCGGGCAGAAAGAAGTCAACGCCGTCCAATTTTCTCCCTGTCCTGACCGCCCATACCTTGTCTCTGGTGGTGCGGACGGGTCTGTTCGACTTTGGAATGCAGACAATTTTTCCGCCGGCTGTATTCGTATCCCCATTCCTGAGCGTGGTCTGACTTCTAACTATCGTCACGTTTCCGACACCTGGCGTGCAGCCAGCACTTCGGCTGCGGTCGCAACTTCACGAATTGCCCCCACGTCTCCCGTTGCAGACGGCATTAGTGGCGGACCTCATCACGAATTGCTTCAAGGCCATATCTTGCTAGGCAACTCCCCGGCAGTTCCGTCGTCTGCCGCGTCAGCCCACATGCTGCCACCGGCAGCGCTTAGCATGCCCCCGGCTTCCGGCTTTAGTGTCTTACCAGCTTCGGCGTTAGCAATTCCAACGTCATCAGGTGCTGCGTCCGCTTTCGGGGCCTCATCAAGTCAACCGCAGCTGGGAGTTTCGGCTGGCCGCGGGCAATTTGCCGCGTCTAGTAACCCAATGCCGACTACGCCGTCTCCTTCTCCCAGGCAAGCCAATGAGCGCCCTCTAACTAGGGACCCCACTGCACACAGCCTCGCTGCAAATAGCGTCGTCAGTGGCGGACAATCGACATATAGCGTTCTAAGTGTTGGTTTTAATGCCGGAGCAACCAGGCTTGCCGTCGCTGGAACAGATAGTTGCGTGTATTTGTATGCTATTGAGAAGGCGGAAGAAGCTGATTCCCTCTTCCCTTCCATCAGGTATTTGACCACGCTGCGTGGACACTCGGAACAAATTATTCAAGTATTGTTCTCGAGAGCAGGTGATAGCATTGTCACTGCCTGCCGCGACGGGACAGCTAGGATATGGAACCGCGTAAAAGCGCGTCTACCGGTCGGGAGAAAGCGGAAACAATCTGTTGCAGGGATGGGGAAATGGAGCTCGATGGTTTTGGATTGCCGATCTTCGATTCAGGCAGATGCGCGAAGTGTTTTAAGTGGCGGAGCCTCGGGGTCAGCATGTGGAAGTATTGTCCCACGCATGCGTCGAGCAACGTTTCCGGTTTCTGTCGATGCAACCATGTGGTCTCTAAATGACAAACGCGTGTTCACTGCGAGCTCAGATGCAAAGATTCGAATTTGGGAGGCTCAGACTGGGAGGCTTTTGCGTGTTTTGGAGGCTCATGAACGAGAAGTTTATGTGATGGACTGCCATCCTACAGATGAACGCATTCTGCTTTCCGGTGGGTACGACGGTAGGTGCATTCTCTGGGATATTGAAACAGGAAAGCAGTTGCGAATGTTTACGGTATGGGATGGACCCGATGATCCATTCGAGCAAACCATTCCTTTTGGTTCTCACAAGAGACCAAGCATCACAGATGGCCAGTTTTCTGCCGATGGCCTCTCCTTCGCTGTGTCCGATACGTCTGGAGCATTGACAGTATTTGCATGTAACTCTGTGGAAGCTACAGCACTAGCACCTGAGGAGCAGTTCTTCTCGAAAGACTACGCTCCGTATCGGCGAGATCGCGAGAATCGCGCTGTTGACGAGGATACCGGACTCTTGTTGCATCTTGTGAACAAGGGTCGCCTCTGCAACAAAGACTTGAGGCCTCACCCGCCGGAGCTTCAACCTAATATGCTGCTGTCGAGACCGATGGCGAAAAGATTTGATGCAGATGGCGATGACATGCACCCAGAGCAGAAAACCCCGCATTCACGAAATTCTGTTGAGAATAGAAATCGGGACGCACTGATGCTTCGCGCAAAGGAGTTTAGGGCCAATCAGGAGAAAGAAGAAAGGCGACTGTTGCGTGAGGCTCGTCAAGCCCGTCGCCGAATGATCCTTGAAAAGGCGAAAGCCGCCCTTGAAAGGGATACCATCCCATCGTTTCAGCTTCGGGATTTTGAAGTTCAGGATTCCGACGTTGATGACTCAGATGAGGACTTCGATGGAGCAATGGAGCAGGAAGCCTCTGGGAGTTCCTCCTCATCATCATCATCATCAGAGGAGGATAAGATCCGCCCAGACCGGCCTACGCGTACATCTCGAAGGCAGACACATTCTTCCTCGGACATAGACGATGACAGGGGAAGGTCTCGTTTGGGACTGCAAATGCCGTCTGACAGGCGTCAACTTCGGATGCGTGTAGGTCCAAGCCGTATAAAGAAACGGCGACGAATGGCCAGAAATCACCGTCTCAGAGATCGCGTATCTGCGGAGATCGGGGAGAGTGAAGGGGATATTGGTGACGATAGCCCTGGCTACGAACTGGAAAGCCAAGACAGTGACAGTGAAAACTCAGGGACTTCAAAAGACAGAATGCGTGGTTCAGGCGTGGACGGAAACAGCTCCACAGGGACACTTCTGAATAGACATGCTGCCGAAATTCGTGCTGGCTCAGAAATCAGACCCAGCGTTTCTCCTAGGCTATCCTCGCGAACCCCTACGCCGGTGCCATCTACTGCACTCCCAGTCCTTGCAGGAGCGTCAAGAAGCGATGGTAGTCGTCGGATGAGGATTTCGATCGGCGGTAATTTTTCTGCAGGGTCACCACCAGCGCGCTTTGCCTCTGTAACTGGGGATAGAGAGTTATTACCGCGAGCGCCGGCTGAGGTGGGGCATGGGGCTAGTGACGTGGCCTTATTGCAGGAGAACGTTGCCAACAGTGTTGCTTCTTACGATGGCCGTGGGCAAGCAAGTGAGGTTGGAGATGTCATCAGAGGACCAACTCCTCGGAACGCGTCGTTTACAAGCGAAAGGGTTGAACAGAAGGATAGTTCGAATGTGATTGAACGTTCATCAAAAGCAGTGGAAGACAATCAAGGAGACACTGCTAGCTTCGTTCGTCCGCGCCGAAGGGGCCCCGGAGTGGAGGATGGTTCGTCTGCATGGCGGAGGCAACGAAGTCTCGAACAGCGAAATTCTTCGGTCAACAAAGTTCGAAGAGACTCCGTGAATGGGTCTCACTTTGCAAACACGGTGAATGACTCATCTGACGTGCAAAGGACGGATGGTCACGAGAAGAGCTTGCTCTCCGATTCACCTGCTCGTGCGCTGAGACAACGTGCCCGACGACGCGGGCGAACACGTAAACTCGACAACACTCTCCCCGTTTACGATATTGATGAAGTTGCTGACCGTGAAGTGGCGCTCTTGGATGCAAAAGGTGAACAAAAGACCAGCAGAAAGAGGCGAAGGCGATCGTTTGACGACATGAGTGATGGCGATTATTTCAGTGATGAAGACGTCCGAAGACGTGTGAGCAGGGGGTCCGATCACGATGACATAAGCCATCGGGCAAGAAAAGTTCGCAAACGAGACACAACCGTGAGTGAACGCCCATCCACGAGTAGTGCAGAAAAAGGAAGATCTGTGCGTTCGAGAACGAGGACCTTGTCGGCATCGTCATGGCTGCGAAGTTCGTCAAATAGATACACGTATGTGCCTCAGTTGGGAGACGATGTGATGTACTTTCCGGAAGGTCATGCTTCAGCAATGGCTATCTCCCGAGAAACCGGAGTAGAACCAGTTGCAGGCCTCGCTGCCCTTAAGAAGGCTGGCAAGGAGATCCTTGACGGCAGCAGTTTTCCGGCAGATGCTTCTCCTGTCCGCTTCCAAATTGTTGACGTGTCATATGAGTTTCCTGTCCTATCGAACTCCCAAAAGCCTCGTTCTGCAAGCTCACGTCCAAAGGCTTCTCGAGGCTCACATGTACACAATCGCGTGACTGCAAAAACCACCCTTGTTCTCACTCTGCGCTTAGTGTCTGGGTTACCGAGCCGTACGGGAGCAACCGACCGTTTTGTGCTTTGCTATTATCCTGTGGATGCACCAGAGTATTTGGTACTCACAAACCGGGTAGAGGCGGCTTTGAATCGTGCTTGGACGGCGTCGGATCGTTTTCGGATTCTGTTTTTGAACGAAAGCCGAGCTTGGCAGTACTACACGGGGACAATTCGAAGTGTTAGACCGACAATACGAAGCGTGATGTGGAACAGTGTGGAAGTGGTATACGATAACGAAGGAGAAAAAGAGAAAACAACATGTGAGCTTGTTTCTCCATGGGAGCTGGAATCGTTTCACATTCACCAAAGGGGAAGGGCAGCTACCAGTCACTCCTTCGCCCCTCTACGGGCATCCACAATTGAACCAGGTCTCTGCCCTCTGATCGCTAGGGATTTCGAGACAATCCGCGAGACGGAAACTAACTGGAGAGTTCAGTTATCATGGCTAGACAACGTGGACGCCTTGGCTGCGCTTCCGGGATATTGCGGTAAGATACCGTGTCCAATGGATTTCAACACTATTTTGGTGCGCTTGTGCACCGGATATTATCGGCATTTTTGTTCCTTCCTTCACGATATTGATCTGATGAAGCGGAACGTCGTTCGCTTCCATGGTGCTGGCTCGGAGAATGCAAGGCTGGCTCTAAGTCTATATACGAGACTTGGTGATACTGCGGAAAGAGCAAGGGTTGCATTTCTCAGCTCATTAATGCCAGTAATGCCAAGTCCTAGCTTCTCACATAATGCCCCTCCCTCCCATAGCGGATCACGGACCATTCGCCCCCGACCAACACAGAATGAAGCAATTGCACATGCGCAAGCGTACCCAGTAGGCGTAGCAAGGACTGGAAGACCATTTCCAGCCTCACAACCTACGGCTCAAGCTGGAGCCTCATTTACGATACCCCCTTCATATTCGAACGAGGGATCGGGTTTCTTGAGTTCATTTGCGCCGTTTTCGAATCAGCAAAGGCAATGGCCAACGACTCGAAGCTACCTCAATAGTGGTCAAGGGCATGGGGTTTACCCAGGTCAGTCGCTTGGGGTGGCTCTTCCGCCTATATTGCCAGGTGTGTCTCATCCTCCTGCTCCCACGAGAGGACCCCGAGCTTCACGTCTTACAGGACGAGGGCAGACTCATTTTCGACAGAGCAGTGCTGGACCAGCAAGAAAGGGATATGCTCAGGCAAGCGGAGGGCATTTCGCTTCGCAATCTCAATCAGGTGTTGGAAATTTATCACAATCAGCGGCAGATCCGGGGCATCACCATATTAGTGACATGAATCAGCATCACCGGCAAGTAGCTATGGTAGCTAACTCGAATCCGGCGAGTGATGGTAACCGCGCTAGTGCGAGACGGATTGCATCTAACAGCATTCTCCTGGACCCGCGTGGAATGGTGAAGCAGGCAGTATCGAGTATTGGTGCAAGTCAGGTTCCGGCGAACCGTCGTGTTGCAGAAACTGGAAATCTTTCAAATAGGGGTCGTGGAGGTACTGGCATGCTTTCCCCAGTTCAAGACGCAGTACCGGGTCCGAGTGGAGGATCCCTGAGTATGGTGCAGTCTTCACCTCACGGGCAACTCACGAGGCAACACAGCATTGGGGTCAGCAGTTTTCCTGCAGGGGATGGTACTCACAGCTGGGGCCGAAGCATGGAAGGGGCTGGCGGAACCTTTCCTCTCCATGCGTCTACATCTGATAGCCACATTCCCCAGGCACAAACTGGGAGATCTCCAAGCCCTGCTTCCCCTTCGATGTCTCCGCGAGATCGCGGCAATCCTGGTGTTCGGCAACAGACGGTTTCAGTCAGACAGCAAGCGCTGACGGGAGTAATCGCCACGGCACCGTTCCATGAACACTCCACAGTGTCGGTCGCGGCAGCGGAATCAACAATGAGTTGTGGGGGTGCGGAAGTAGCTATGCAAGCTGCAACAGCTGAATCTGCGGACGCAGTTGTAACCGAACGAACTCGCGACACTAGCAACCGATGAGTACTACTGTATATACAAACAAAATGTACCCTGATGCGCAGAAAAGTTGAAGACAAACATAATCGACAGACAAACAAAGTAGCTTTCTGTGGATGTTTATTGTACAACACGAGCCTCACTAGGCGATAACATAGTAACATTAAAACGGGATCTATCCACGACTTCGGGGATCGAAGTCGTTGGGACGAGTCTCACATTCTGACTGATTCTCATCGTGAAGCGTTTTGCCGAAGACTCGCTCCTGCTGTCTTGCAAGGGCGGCCTCCTCAATGGATCGAGCTATGAAGTCTACTCCGGCAGTCTGCTCCCCCGTGCTAGTTTCGGTACGATGGACCGTTGTTAACAATTTTGATGTCGTTGAAGTCAAGTTAGGTGAGCTTGTGGCATCATTCCGTTCACTCTTTCCATGCAGAACGGGCTTCGCGGCGTTTTGACGCATGGCACCTGCGATGCCTCTATTCAACTTGTCGAACGGCGCGAAACGCGCGACATCCCTACTTAATGTTGTCCGCAACGAATCAAACTTTGAAAGGGACTCGCGGAGACCACTGCCCACTCCATTCCCAGCGTGCTGAGCGAAAACCGACTCACCCTCCTTCATTGCAGCATCGGTCGCATCGCGGAGACCACGTAAGCTTCGTACTCCAATGCCAGTAGCACGACCCGCGTACCTGGCGAGCAGAGGCACATCGGACGGGCGCAGAAGGACGAGGCCGCACGCTGCAACCAAGAGGAGGGTCGCGTCCGACTCGAACATGGGCGCTTGAAGACCTGCAGGGTCGGCGCGTCGGCAACAGATGTGACGTCACCGTGGAGAAGGGGTTTTGGGGCGAGAGTACAGCAGGACAGAGTGTATTAGTTACGAAGGGTTGTTTTCAACAGCAATGCTAGTCGTGTTTTCATGTATTTTTCTAGGGTACAGAGATCCCGCGATCTGCTTCTTGAGATCAGATCGTGGGGGGTGCCACCCCCTTCAGAATTGATCGCTCCTGTAGTTAGACACCCGAGATACTCGCAACTTTTGTTGCGTCTCTGTTGTAACTTGAACAATCTATCAAGTGTTTCGCGGAGGAACACCTCGTATTTGAGCATCGTGGAGGGAACCTGCTTCAAGATGACTGCATTTGTGCCTTTGCTCGCTCCACCACCATTACGCTCTGTGCAGAGAGCTGGCCATATCTCCCTTCGCCCCATGGCTCACACCACCAGGAGGCAGCAGGCCCCTCGTATGGTGGCAAAGCCGGAGAACGAGCCCGACGTAGCTGTATCGTCAACGGTCGAACGCTTGTACGACACATACCCTTTCCCGCCGGAAACGCTGCTTGACGAAGCTCCGATCGGATATAATTGGCGATGGCACCATCCGTCCGCATACTCTTTCTGCACAGGCCGTATTCCGCCACCACAAACGAAGCCTCTACGCATCTTAGACGCGGGGTGCGGCACGGGGGAGTCGACATCCTATTTAGTGCACCTCAACCCAGGGGCTCAAGTCACTGGCATCGACTTGTCGGCAGGTGCGCTGAAGATCGCTGAGGAGAGGCTCCGAAGGTCTGTGCCAGAGCAGATGGAACGCGTTGAGCTCTTGCATAAAAGCATTTTCGATGCAGCTGAGCTCGAGGGTCAGTTTGACCATATCAACTGCGTCGGTGTCGTGCACCATACACCAGATCCGTTGAGAGCTGTTCGTGCTTTGGCGGAGAAGCTCGCTCCCGGAGGTATCCTGCACATTTTTGTGTATGCAGCGCATGGGCGCTGGGAAATTTCTCTTATGCAGCGAGCATTGAAGCTGCTGCAGAATGGTAAGCATGAGTTTGAGGACGGTGTGAAGCTCGGAAGGAAGGTTTTCGCTGCTTTGCCAGACGGTAACAGACTCAAGAAAAGGGAGAATGACCGTTGGGCACAAGAAAATACGAAGGATGCCACGTTTGCCGATATGTATTTGCATCCTCAAGAGGTTGACTACGACATTCCGAGTCTCTTCGAGCTGATTGATCAGTCCGGACTTGAGTTTGTAGGGTTCTCAAATCCACGGACTTGGGACATAAAGCGAGTGCTTGGGAATGATGAGGAAATATGCAAGCGCGCCGAGGGTTTGTCTGAGAGGGATTTGTACGGGCTGATTGAATGCCTCGACCCGGAAGCCGTGACTCATTTCGAGTTCTTTTTGACAAAACCTCCTCTTCAAAAGTATGACTGGAAGGATGATGCTACCCTTGAACGCGCAAGAGCTACGATGTCAGAATGCATCACCGGTTGGCCAAGCAATGTCGTGATGGATAGAGACTATGTCCCTATCATGCTTTCTGATGGGGAGCGCGAGTTTCTAGAGGCAATCACCAAGGAAGGTGGTGGGCAAATAGCTAAAGCCGTGGCGGAGACCACGTTAAATTTAGATGGCGTGCGGTTGCTTGTACAGAAGGGCGTGATGCTGTTAGCACCGGAGGAATAGGGGGGAAGTAGCAGTTTTTGGACGGTCGTCTTGGACGTCACTTGATACGCTAGAGATGCGACATCATTTACAGCGGGCTATTCCCGAAGGTGCTTCACAATTCAATGCAGGTAGCGATGCATACGCGATAGATCTGTTGATAGTTGCTATCGATAAAAGCGAAATCACGCAGGCCATCACCCGCGCTGGCAAGCAAACTGCAGTTTCTCTAAGTCTGACTATAGATTGACAATAAGTACCCAACAAGCGGTATTCATAAGCACAAACACAGAATCGAGCTGTGATCCCGTTTCACACAGGGCTATTCGTTCGCATTCTCTGTCCTCTGATTGCTGTTTCCCTCCGTATTCACAGGTGGCGCTTCTGTACCTGAACCTTTCTTGAGTACAGAAGATACCTCAGATTTCCGATCCGTTCCATGGATACCGGGCTCTGGTCCTACTCGACTTGGCTGACTGCTACGCGCTGGCCCTCCTGTAGCCGTCGATGTAGACCCCCTCATACTCTGTCGAAAGCTCGGTGGCACATAACTCTTCGGGCTGAAGAACTCACTTGTGAGATGTTGGACCATTGCCCCCAAGCCACCGTGCCCCGCTACTTGATATGCCTCCTTCGCTCTCTCTTCAGTATATCCAGCATGAATCAGGGCAAGCACTGTGGAAGGCAGCATGGGCGTAGACGAGGAGGCAGACGACCCGGCAGCAGACTCTCTGCGACTAGCTTCGACCAGCGAGAGCGCGACAACAGCCTTTTCCATCTCGTTCTGGGTTGCCTGCGCATCTAAGGTGGCTCTCCACTGCAACTCTCTCTCGCGTTTTGCCTGCGCGATGCGCTTCTCTCCCGCAATCGCCAGCGGCTCCACTGCGTTGTAATGGCTCCGACGATGAAAGCTGAGCCTGACCGGCTCCGGTCTGCGGGTAGAATCCTCCCCCGCATGCATGCTCCACGAGTCAATGATAGTCACGGGTGTCGGGCCGTACGAGTAGACCTCGATGGGCTTCCCGAAGAGCTCGGCGGCGGCCTGCAGCTCGAGGTGGTTGCCGTGCGTGCCGTCCCTGCTCTTTCTGCGTACGTACCTCGCGAAGTCCTCTGCGACAAACTGTGAAAAGTAGTCCCTCTCTTGCGAGAGGTAGTCGATGACCTTGGCGCGTAGCGGGACGTGCAGCTCGGCGTCGCCCCAGAGGGCGTGGGCGAGGGCGCGGAACAAGCAGTTTCCGTCGGCGCGCATGTCGACGATGCGCAGGCCGCGCGCGCGCAGCTGCGACACGAAGACGCGCTCGCGCTCCAGCGGCGAGCGGGCGTGGAAGTGGTCGGCCGCGCGCGAGGCGGACAGATGCTCGTCCTCGCTGTTGTACGCCTCGGCGACGGACGAGCCGCTGTCGCTGCCGCGCTCGTCGTCCGCGGACCGCAGCACGCACGGCGCGACGGACGAGGAGGCGGATGAGGCGGCGCGCGGGAGCGGCGGTTGCGGGAGCGGCGGGCGCGGGTTGCTGCGGATGAGGTCCGCGTGCGCGGCGGGGGATTATAAGGGCGGGCGCAGGA